AGAAAATGAAAGAATGGAAACAAAGTCTTTATAAATAGGGAGGAATGGAGGGGTTGAAGGGAGGGCAGGGGAAGGGGGAAAAATAAGAACCAAGAGAGATTATGTAAAGGTGCAAATTTCAAGAGATGAATGTCATTATAATCTAAAATGTACCAATAAAATAAAAAAAACAAAAGAAATGTCTTCACCAAGTTTTTCAGGATTTAGGGTTGACCAGCACTTAAAAGATATTTTTAAGGAGGCCAGAAATATTTCCTACCTTTTTTTTAGTCTTGTTTGAGAGATAACCAGTTTATGGCTAGAAGAGAGGATGTATGTGGTCGCATATAAGGGAAGCCTATGCATTTTTATATTTTAGGAAGATGAGACAAGAGTATTTTTCTCGTTTTATTTTTTAGCATATGGAACATACAACATAAATTAAAATGTGTTTATATTCTTCTTATATCAGGAGTGTTATTTCATTTCAAAATGAGTAATGAATTCTTATTAACATGTGAAAATTAATTGTACTATATATCTATCACTTGTAAAGAATGTGTTTGGATATCCACACTTTCTAAGTCTTAGAAAGGACAAGTAAAACTCTGTTTTTTGTTTAAAATATATTAATTTTAGTCATTGCAGCTTGACCTTGAAGTGTGCTATTTTAGAAATTTTTGTGTTGCTAATTTTTTCTTGACTGTTATAAATGATAAAGATTAGACTAACACTTATTTTGGATGTATGATGAACTTAGACTAGATAGTTTGCTCTCTATCATGCTGTATAAAGTGAAGGATGTTTTGTTTCACCAGAATGCTGAGCTTTTAGCAGGATTTCAAAGTGCAAACTTCTGCAAAGTGACATTCCATTAAGCATATCTTTATATAAAATGAATTATATCCTGAGTCATTGCAGTTGTATAAACTTAAGATAACCCTTCTTTGGCAAATAAAGATCGATAAATTCATGTACTTTTAAGTGATAATCTTGGGCCAAATGATCATTTACTTATCGGAAATGACTAATGAAATGTTACAATGATTTATGGTATGCTGCAGTAAATTTTCATAATACAGAAATTTGTCTTTCATTTTCCACTGCCTGTCTGGTTCATTTACTGAGTGATAGTTACTTTAAATGTTTTATCAGCTGCTTTATTCTTTTCCTCTTTTCTTTCTCTCAGATTCTTATCATGATGAGTTAGGGAGTAATATTTCATTTTAAATGACTTGTCTTTGCTATGGTTGGGAGATAGAATTGCTATAATGTGAAACACAGTTGTTAATCCAAAATATCTTTGATCAAAACTTTAAAAATGTTACAACTTTTTATTATCAGAATATCTTTAACAACAATGTATAAATGTATATGGGAATTATATATGAGATGCCAAGTGTGTATTTTTATAATTAGAAATACTATTAAATATCATCTCTGTATTAAGCATTGTGCCAGATAGTGGTAAAATAATCATTTTTATTCTAATGAACTTAGCAAAATTTATCAATTAATTATTATATATATTGCACTGTATTGGCAATATGAAATCTACTGTCTTAATGAATTCATACTTTATGTATGAAATATCTGTTGAATATTTACTGTGTGAAATTCATTGTGTTTATACATATTGCAAATTTTTAGGTTGATGGCTAAGGTTTCTAGGACCAGTTGCAGAACATTAGAATAAATATTGAATATAAATCTTATTTCTGTGTTATTAAAGATTAAGAATAGCATGTTTTAAAATTGAGTGATGATTAAAATATATAAATTTAGAATAGATTTTGATTTCAAGCTAATTTTGAAATATTAGAGCATTAAGTATAGTTATGTAGCTTTTGTCAACCTGTTAAATTTTCAGCACATAAGGAAGATTTTATCAGTTTCCTTGATCTTTTTACTAATGAAAATATATGACATTAATTTATCCAAAATTGCATACAAGCCTCAATATAATAGCAGAGGGCTGATCTAGGGGATACTAGTTATTCTTTTCCCGATTGTTTTGCGAAGGTCTGTTATTGTCTTCACTTTAATTCCATGTATTGTTTGTTGATTTTGTTCTGTTGATTTTTACCCAGCGCAGATAATGACAATTTATCTTTAGACTCTTAACCCTTTAACTTGATAGTAGTAGTAACAGAAGTAGGAGTAGCAATATTTAAGTTTTTAATGAAGTAGATATTTAAATTAGGTATTTATATCTCCATTTTATAGGAGAAAAAATAGAGTTACACAGTATAAATGACCTTATCCATGTAGCTAAACACAAAACATATGCTTTAAAAAGTGTTCTGTGTCATTCTTCAAAATAGGATAGAATTATTAAATTATCCTTTGTACTAAAACGCAGGTTGTTCCATGTATTTGAAATGTAATTTGTAATGATAATGAGTTGTTTGCTTGCGAATATTATGTATTCATTTTGTATCAATTTTTAATGGCTTTTTTATTGTGCTTTTACAAATTTTACTTTTATTGTACATGTTTGCAGTAATAATGGTTATGTTCCTCATGGGGAGCTGACACATGTACATAACGCCTCTTGATTATTTTTTTCATCTTTTCCCCTTGCTGTCCCTCCATTTCTTGGTCTCCTTCCCTTTTGCAAAAGATCTATATCGCTTTTTCCTATTATCTATCTTTCTTACTTTGCTTTTTATTTACATTTTGGATTTCTCTTATATGAGAAAACATATGATATTTAAGCTCATATGTGTAATTTATTTAACTGATCTTAAGGTACATCTTTTTTTCCTACAAATGTCTCAGGATTATCCTTCCTTATGGCAGAATAGTACTCCATTGTGTATAAATGCCACATCATATTTACCCATACATATGTTGATGGATATATTCACTAGTTCCAAGATTTAGCTATTTTCCTTGTATAAACATGAATTGTGCTTCAAAGATTTACCTAATATGATTTATGCTACTATAAATTGTGAATGCATGTATCACTGTGACATGATATATTTAACTCTTTCAAGAAGATACCTAGAATGGAAATAATTAGGTTGGATTTAATTCCTAGTTGTATTTTTTAAATCTCCATATTGATTTCTCTAATGGTCAAACTACTTTACATCCCCACCAACAATGAGTGAGTGGTTTCTTTTCAAGATCTTTATTCTTGGAATCCAGTGAGTCATGTTTTTCTCTGCCTAGCTTTATGGCCTCTGGTTTGGTGAGGTACTCCTCTGTTCCTGAGGCGCCTCTATCTGCACAACTTGGACTGTGGCAATCATACAAGCAAGGAATGTCCTTGCTCACATTCATAAATGGATAAAGTAATCAGACCACTAGTCTCTGCTGGATGTAGGCAGTGGGACAGAAGTTAAAGTAGACCACCGGATTTAGTGCCAGAACTTTCAGATCTAGCTGCTTCTGAAAGCCGCATTTTCCAGGTGTCACTCCTCACCATGGAGGCTGAGCTTGGTGTCCTTTGCAGCATGAGCCTGAACTTCTCAGGAGGTCTGTGTCTAGCCTGTATCCTTTCTGCAGCCATCTCTTGTGGCTGTCTCTCACTTAGTCATTGTGTTAGAGGTACACTAGAGAACCTGGAATGAAGTTTTTCTACAGTTGTTTGGTGCTCATTCCCAAAATGGCTCCTGATTAAACCCTCTCCAATATGGCAGGCACTGCAGTGGATTTTTTTCCAACTCTAGCCTTCCTTGAAGAAGTCACTTTCCCAGTAAAGTCCACCTTGTTTTTGTATTTTACAATAGCTGTGGGACTTTTTTGGGGCTAACACTGCTGGCCCAGTCTTATTTCTCTATGGTGCTGCTGACTCTCTGGAAGTCTCGTCCTGAGTCTTCTCTTTCTGGGTATTAATCTCATCCACAATCAGGTCAGTCAGTTGGTTGATGATGCCTCTGCTGCCCTGTCTTGAGGGGAAAGAAAATGCAGAACAGCCTTGAAGTTGGCAAGGATGCCATGGCCAGACAGCTGAATCCACAGGTGCAAAGTTGGATGGGGGTGAATGTGTGGCTTCCATCTGTCCTTAATTCATTTTTTCTCCCTCTCTCTTCCCCTCCTGTTTTCTATTGTTTATAGAAAGTATCACCTTGGGTAGGCTTACGCAAGATCAATATATCCTACTGGGGATGGGAGGACATGTCTCCTTTCACAAATACAACATTACAGTGGCTTCCTGGTGAGCCAAATGATTCTGGATTCTGTGCATATCTAGAGAGGGCTGCAGTGGCAGGCTTAAAAGCAAATCCTTGTACATCTATGGCAGATGGCCTTGTCTGCGAAAAACCTGTTGGTAAGTAGTCCAGTAAATTAGCATTTCTTTAAAAATGTGTTTTCAACCCTTCTTCCTACCACCTCCTTCCAAGGTATAGCCTGAAGTAACTCACACCAGCCCCCTAATAATCAGTTTTTAATCTCCATTTCCCACTTATCAATTGATCCTAAGCATAACTTATGAAAATGAAAATTTATAGTTTTGTACAACACATTTTTAATTAAAATACTGTGTTTATGAACATATGGTTTACTATAGCAATAATCTGTTTTAAATTTGTTAATTTTGACATAATAGAGTGTGAAAAGATTTGTCCTTACTATTAATGGCTGAGACATGATGTAATATTATAGATTTATTATTAAATTTGTCAAGTCAAAAAGATGTATTTCTATAATAACTTTTAAAGTGGACTTCTGTTACTTGAGAAAGGAATGTTGAATTATTTTCTTTTATAATATAGTATTTTATTGTGGTATAAATATATAACATAGAACTTACTGTTTTAACCATTTTGAAGAGTAGTGTTTTAGTGGCATTAAGTATATTCACACCACTGTGTAATCATTACCACCATTGATCTCCACAACTTTCTTCATTTTGCAAAACTAAAATTCTGCAATTCAACAATGTCTTCCACCATCACTTAGAAACCACTATTTTATTCTGTCTCAATTTCACTGCTTTATATACTTCCTATTGTAGACTCATATGATTTTTATTCTTTTGTGACTGGCTTATTCCTTTAGCATAATGTCTTCAAAGTTCATCCAAGTTGTAGCATGTGTAAGAATTTTCTTACTATTTAAAGCTGAATTATATATAAAGTTTTATATATATGGGTATATATATGTCTGTATAATTTTATATATAAATGTGTACAGTAAGTCCCCAACTTTGAATGAGTTCCATTCCAGGAGAATGTTCATAAGTCAGATTCATTCATAAGTCTGACAAAATGAGTCTTATACATCACTGACACAGATATACAATGTTTATTGCTTTGTGTTTCCTAGCAGTCCCCTCCACATCACTGCTGCTTTTCCTCTTGCTTCCAGACATCCTGAGCTTTGATTGAGCAGTGTACTACTGTCCACTGTTGCACTGTACAGTAAGCACACAGCGACACAACTATGACAATGTCTGACAGATGTGTGAACTATTTCCATGATTTGTTTGCATCTACAAATTTTTGTAATGAGAGGCCTGTTCCTATCTGGGAATGTTTGCGACTTGAATTTTCTTAAGTCAGGGACCTACTGTATATGCAATTTTATATATAATTTTATATATATATGTACACATATACACACATATATTTCCACATTTTGCTTTTTCATTCATCCATGAGAAGACATTTGAGTTACTTCCACTTTTGGCTATTGTTGATACTGCTATGAATGTGAATGTACAGATATCTATTTGAATTTCTGATTTCATTTCTTTTAGGTACATAGCCAGAAGTGGAATTGCTAAATAATATTATAATTCTCTGTGTAAGGTTTTGAGGAGTGTCATACTATTTTCCACAGAGGCTGTATCATTTTACATTCATACCAGCAATGCATAGTTTCCAATTTCTCCACATATTTGCCAACATTTGTTATTTTTATTTTTTGTAGATACT